GTGTTATTTGAATATTTCGAGTTTGTCCAAACTATCATCAAAATATCAACTTTTCATGAATTGAGAGTACTGATGTACTTAATTTCAATTAAGGCTATGTTTTGGACCATATTTAGCACAATTTATTTTTTATCTCGAAAACAGATAGAGATAGGTATAGGACATTATTAACAAAAAAGTATTAAAATACTAGAGCGATTCCAAAAATGTATTATTATACGGGGTGTTCCATTTAAAAAAATATAATTGCTAGGACTTTTTGATAGAAGTGGCAACGCCGCAATGCTGAAAATATTTTAGATCGATAGAACAGGTAAGGAAATGTGGAAGGTGAAATTTTCAGAAAAATCATGCTTTGCGTTTTCCAGAAACGTCTAACCTACCATCGACCGTGAGTTACGCTGTATACCAGGGAATAAGAAAAATAAGAAAAGGCACTAAAGTTTCAGATGTAGGATTAGGTGAATCCGTGGTTTTGCAGTTTTCCGATATATTGAAGAATTATTCCGCATGTTATTTTTTCTTCGGTGCCTGTTATATTTCCGATTTTTACTTTTTGTTTTCTGTTACTCAAATAACTTTTCAATAAATCGTAGGCTGCACATCTAATGCCGTGCAGAGTAGCCAAAAGTATGCAGTGGTCAACGGTATCGAATGCCTTTGATAAATCTAAAAAGACTACTATGGATTGGACATTCATAGGCAATATTTGTTAGTGCGTGAATTACATCCTGTGCGGACTTTTGTTCCCTGAAACCGTATTGTAAAGCAGACAGCATATGGTATTTGTTAAGAAATTTATTTCGTCTATGTTTAATGATTTTTTCTATTTATTTACTTAAAGATGTTATGAGTGAGATTGGGTCTGTAATTTATAATACTTTGTCTATCTCCTCCTCAATGTACGGGAGTGACAACTGATAGCATCAGGCAATGACCTAGTTCGAAAGATTTATTTATTATACAGGGTGTTTGGTAGCTGGGTGCAAACCTTTGAGGGGGTGATACACTAGCCCATGTAGAACATATTCATACAAACATTTTTATTTTCTAGCGCGTTTTTGATTTTTAAGGGAACTTTTACGATTTTTAGTACAAAAACCCAAAATTGGTCAATTAAATGCTAATAACTTCGAATCTTAACAGAAATGTCCGGTTTTTT